GCAGGAATGTCTGTGGTCAAAGAGGGATATGCAAATACAGCCATGCACATAGGTACAGCAGGATATGTTCTCCCTGTGATCCACAGACCAGGAACAAAGGACTCAGAGCCAGAAACATGTCGAAGCATCCCCACACTCCACAGCCAGGCTTCATCCCAAGCTCTGCAGCTCAGACCCTTTCTTACCCAGCATGAAAATATTTTATTCTGCTTTTCTTAAATGCCAAGAAAAAAATAGGCCTATCTTTCCTGGCTTGGATTTATTCCATCTGGAATCACTGCATGATCACAGGGCTGTGATAGTGTGTTACAGACTCAGTATAAAGCAAGAACCTAAATGCTTCCAAGCACGATGCAATCATTGATCTTTGCTGTTACACTTGGTATCTCCTGGCAACCAGCTGAGAACTTGGGGCTTCTCACTTCAGATCACAGAGTTCAAGTATCTCCAAGCCCCCTCCCACGATCCAGAAACATGCCAGTGCTGTGGGTGTGATCCCTGTCTCCAGGACTGAGAACAAAACCAACACAGCTTCAGGAAACCTCCCCAGTATTTGTATTTGCCATGTGTCACAACAAACAGCAACAGGAGCGGAAGGTAACGGCCTACAAACAGCTCAGTCGTCAGGCTAAAGACATCAAAAGGCACCTTGGAGAGCCTTCCAGGACATGGATCCTCATCAGCATCCAGGGAGCCAAGCACAGACTGAGCCAGAGCTCCCCAGCACAGGACCTGCTGCATGCCAGGAACCTGTAAATCCCTGACACCAGGGCCAGCTCCTCCCGCCAGCTCCCAAGGAAATGTGCTCCATCTAACCTGCTTCCAAAAAGAGGCTCCCGGACAATGATTTTCTGTCATCTCTGCCTCATGATTGATGAATCTGAAGAGACCACTCTGCACCTTGACCATCAGTGTGATTAGGAGATGAGAGGGAACAACACCTACAGTGCCAGATTTGGCAAACACAACCCGCACTTTTGGTTGCTCATATAAGACCTGAGAAGGGCTCAGTTTCTTGGAGGCAATAAGCTCACTCCTCACAAAGCCCAGGAGGCTGATCAAATCAACTCCACAAAGCAAGGACTCCAAAATGCTCTATCCTTCTGGAATTCAAGGCAAAGTGACAGTCCCAAACTCAGGGAACTTTAGGTCTAAACTCCTGTCGCTCAAGAGGAGGTTACAGATATCACCACTAAATACCAATCTTTCATGAACCAGTTTGTGATGGAGGTTGGTACCATTGTTCTGTTAAATGAACAGTGAAACAGAGACTCAAAAAGACAAAATTATTTGCCTACACCTGCCCAAAGAGCCAACAGCAAAGCTACACACATGCTGTGCTTTGCAGCCTGAAGGCCCCACGGTCACCCCCACCCCAGGTTAGAAATGAGGTAAGGACAAACATGCTCTAAGAAGCTCTCAGAGCAGCACTGGAGATAAAAATCATCTTCCTACCGACTGTGACACCTGGACTCGTACTTCAGCAGCATCCAGAGGGGATGCACTGGATCCCTGGGACCTCCTCTCTGAGCTGGAATGATGCTCTCGGTATCTCCTCGTCCTCGCAGGTAGTGACAAGAACTCCTTCCCCGAAATCTTCAGGTCTCCCACATGGTGGCTGTCCCCATTCTGGTCCTTGGGAAAGCAAGAAACAGTCATTGCACCAATTGCCTGTCTTGGATTTACATGGAGATCTGTTAGGACATATTCACAGAGCAGGAGACACATGGGAGCACCAAGTTGACAGAGTTGAGATGGTGTGAGCTGCCACTCACCCTATGCATCACCCAAACAACACACAGTAGAGTCAACTCCTCCACAGGGAGAAGCAGCATCCTCTTTAAAACCCCTAGGTGTGCAGGTAGAATCGCCTGTCTTGGATTTACATGGAGATCTGTTAGGACATATTCACAGAGCAGGAGACACATGGGAGCACCAAGTTGACAGAGTTGAGATGGTGTGAGCTGCCACTCACCCTATGCATCACCCAAACAACACACAGTAGAGTCAACTCCTCCACAGGGAGAAGCAGCATCCTCTTTAAAACCCCTAGGTGTGCAGGTAGAATCAGGTTTATTTA